GCATTATACAACAGGCTTCTCATATCAAATTTTTAGGTGTAATTTTAGATCGTGAATTAACATGGAAAAACCATATAAATTCGGTTGCTAAACATATAATTAGATCTGCGGCACTTATAGCAAAACTACGACATTACACAAATAAAAATACACTCAAGTTGATTTATTATGCATTGGTTTATCCAATAAGAATTTATGAATATTCTGATCTTCTAAACATAATTATAATACATGGGTAAGTACAATACCATTTCTAACTTTTTATTTAACAACACTACACCTGTCCTATTGCCCGTGCCTGAATTCGAATATTTTAATGGCTACTTCGCAGTTCGCACAGAACAATGAAGTGCATCATTACAATACTCGAAATGCTAACAAATTTCATGTAAATTTTAGTAGAACAAATTATGCAAAACATTCTAAGGGAGTTAAGATATGGAATTCACTCGATAATGAAATTAGCAGTATTATATTTTATTGTACTTTTAAGAAAAAGTCAAAATTATTTTTCCTGTAAAATATACTTTAATTGTTATTATCTGTAAACTTTGTTCAATTAGCTCATTATATTACTTTTACTTTAAAATTTTCCTTACTTTATACTTGTATTTGTAAATATTCCTATATTCTTTCGACATTATATGATTAACTTACCATATAAAACAATTGTAAAAATATTATATAACTAGGGACCTTTGAACAAAAAGCCTGAAAGGGTTTCATGAAGGGTCCTAGCCCGTCATATTTTATTGTATACTTCAGATTGTAAATATTAACTTTTTCATATGGGCAAATAAAATTCAATTCAATTCAAAGTCTCAGGTTACGATGGCCAAGGGCGAAGTTCAAACAAAGACGCTCTTGCAACAATAAACAATCATGAATAATTAAAAAAACGTTAAATATGGTGATCACAAAATCAATTCTTGTATCCCAAATAACTGAACAATATAATAGAGTGACACAGAAAATTCACTTTAAACGGCTGACAGATCACTTTAAACGGCTGACAGACGATTACAAGTTAACGTAGTTACCATGACAAACGACGCTTGATATATTATAGCTGGCCAACAGCTGGGCATTTTGTACGGAGCATGCGCGAAAAAATCAATATGGCGACATATATTTATAGGAGTGCTTCGTGTATTTATCTGGTTTTAAAGCTGATAAAACAACATTTCAATGAACAAAAACTTTGTAATATTTAGTGGAAAACATTAAGCTATGCAATCCAAAGGTTGTAAATTAAAAATAAGTACTTTTGCTTTATTTTATTGCTTTTTATGCTTTCAAAATAGGCAAGCTCATTTTTTTTGAAAGAATCTAAACTAATATTTTATCCATCATTTGTTTAATCTGAACAGAAATTGATAGGACAGTTGGCTACATAAGTTATAAAGGGAATTGGTAGCTGATCTGAAAGATTTCAGTATTCCTGGTACACATTTTAGCAAAGAATGACTGTAATTTTAAAAATGAAATATGCATATCAAAAACAATAGTTTTTATTAGAACAACACATAATAAGTTGTTATTTTCTATTTTTACAAAAACAAGTTTGGAAACAGAATCTAGTCGTCCAGTTTGATGTCATATTACATTTATTTGGATATTTGAATAAAGGAATGTGAAATAATAATTGAAACTTGTCCAAAATTTGATACCAACACTCAAGTGAACAGATACTATCACCTAAAAATAAAAGAAAACACAACTTAAATTTGTCATATAATGCTATGAAAAAGTCTTAGATACTACAGGCATATAGTGAGCACAATGCTTCAACAAACTCACTAAAATAAGTTAAGTTATGCTATGATAAGAGGATGGCAATATATGACAGCATCAAATGTTACCGTCTTCAGTGTCCAAAAAAAGTGCCGCGCGCATTTTTCCCAGCATACCCACTAACTTTTCCATGAAGGTTGACTAATAAGGATAGTTTTAAGCCATATTTCGGAGAGAGGCAATGCTAAAAATTTTAAGATATTTTTATTTATATGCCATATCACCACAGAATTTCACAAAGCAAGTATGCCTATATTCAGGATTGCCGTTAGACTCTTAAAACTGAACAAATCAATGCGGCATTTCCTATCTCATAAAAACCAATACTTGAACATTTTCAAAAGCATTTTTGCAGCAATTTTTACTTTATAACAAACCAATACAGGAGCAATTTCATAAGCATGTGACAACATGACATTTTCACTTCACAAGTGGATTTGTCAATTACAACATCTAGCACATTTTTCCCATGAATACCTCAGGTTTTAATAAAACAAAGTATGATTTAACTTTCATAAAATATATTTTCTAACTGAAGGCAACGGCCAGTTTTTACGAAATTGCAAGAGGAATATGTGTCATTTTCATCAAAATATGTATTTTAAGACGCTTATTATTCCAGATGAGGAAGAACAAACAAATTATTGAACATACCTGTGGAAACAACAACAACTCAGCTTCTATCAAGAGTAAAATATGAACACTTCCTTGTTTCCATACTGCTGTACCCTGCTTCTGAAACTCTGACAATGAGTGAAACATTTCCACTTGTCGCCCATTTGTAAATAAAAATTCTTCTCACGTTTTCATGCGATTAAGTCGTTATATCGTTGCGTACAAGCACTACAACTTAATCTTTCAAGAAACACTTTATTTGCCATGAACAAACCAGTAAAAGAGGACAAAAAATCCTCTCACAATGCATATTTTCAGCGTTCGAAGAATTAAAATGTTTGTTAAAGAAATGCGCCCGCAATATTTAGACAGCGACAACAGAATGCCCAGCTGTTTAGCTGGCCAATACAATTAATTTCCAACCGTCAAAAAGATAAAATAGTTGTAGTTTAAATTCTCTATATCAAACCGACACCAAAACTTGACAGGATGACAGGAACACAGAACGTAGTTTACGGAGAGAGTTTAAAACAAATCCAATAAACGGTTGACGAGATAATGACAACAACGCAAAATTCAGGATTTATAGCGACAACTGACGACCAAGACGAATAATCCAAAATAAACGAACAAATCCAACGAAAAACTGAACAATAACTATATCCACTGAATCACTGGGACTTTATACTCAGTTTAACACCACGTTTGATTGGCGAAATATTTCGCATTTCGCCGAGAAAAAGCGCCCGTGGAATCAGGCCTTTACAGGCTAGTGAACTCTTTCAAAAATTCAAACGAGCTGTGGGCTGGTTACATATAAACTACTCAAAAAAATGAATACTCAGTGCATTCCAAAGGCGCTTATAGATAGCTAAACACACTTACTTTCTAAATTTTTCTTTAATTCTTCGTCCATTATTGCAATTTTTCCCTCCAAAACCACACGTACTTTACAGTATTTCACTCCAAATTAGCCTGCGTACATGTAACGGCTCTCAGGATACCACAAATCAGTTTTGTTTGCGCGTAACCTGCGATCAGGCCTATAGTTTGCGCGCGGCGCGCAATTCCGAATTTGTTCCGAAGAGCCGACGTCTGTCCGATGAAGGATTTTCCCTGAGCATATTTTGCTGACGGGTTTTCCCAGGGATTTTGATAAAAAAAAACTTTTGGGATAAATACGCTTTATTATTCAATTAATATTTACATTTACAACAGTTAAAAATATAAATTTATAAAGTCATATACAATATAGTATTTACAGTAAAAATATACGTAAATACATGGTATTTGAGCAGAAATCTAATTTAGTGTCAAGCACTGTTTTGTTGTTCTTCGTCAGAATCGTATGAGGTGTTTACATAGCATTGTAAATTAGTCATATCTAAAAATAGAACATTATGTTATCAAGAAAGCTGGGTAATTCAGTTTAGCCCCAGTCCTTTGCTTCAATGTTTCTTAAACTGGCAGCCAAATCAAGACCACAGTTTAGGTGAAAGTGCTCAATTGGAAGCTCTGTAACTTCA